GGTAGCCATGCTCCCTGGCCCCAGAGCCTGAAAAAGGGATAGGCAGCCCCCACAGCCGAGAACCAGGGCCACTGTCTGAGTGGAGCCCAGGACCATGGGCTCTGTCTGGGGTGCGGGGGGGTGGGGGGCCGGTCTCTGAGTTGGTCTTAATCAAACTCAATTTTGTGGAACTTGCTGTGAGGGAGGCGCATCTTGTGGTGACAAAAACACCTCAGGGGGTAACCACTTCAGACAAAACCTTAAAAGTGAACCCGTAATTGGAACGTCATCTACATCTCCTTATTTAGAAATATCTGTGTTTTATCTACAATACATTTTCTATCTTTATTCCAAAACTAACACCTCTGAGCACAGGCTTTTACATTTGCTTTCTGATACAGTAATGTTGTTTCTGTAGGTGGTTGTTTTAGGATGCATCTGTCAAGTCCTGTTTACTTTGATAGGGCAAAGATGATGACACAGCTTTGACTGCATCACCTTCATCGAACAGTGAAGGTGAATCTTTTTAACTGGAAAAACACTGAATCTTTAGAGCAGATTCTTAGCCTCGTGTCTCTTTGTATGAACTGCCAATATTTTCCTCTTATGGCATCCCCAGTCTTTTTCCATCCTCTTCCTCTTATCCCAAAGAGAGAGAGGAGGATATTAGGAACTCATTAGTTCAATAATTTGTGGAGACTCATCTGGAGTATGTAGCATCTGAATCAAGGCCTGTATCACTAGCGACTTACTGAAATTTCATGGAAACCGCAAAAACCAGTATTGCATGCAAAATTGGGCAATACCTGGAAAATCCACCAGGGGTGGGGGAGAACCTTCCTGAAAATTAACAAGCTGGCTCCCCAGAGGGGAGGGGGCTGCTTGCATGAAGGGGGGCCCACAATGGCTGCCTGCCAGTTGCCGGGGGCAGGGATACATGACAGACAGCCCTTAGAGCCAGTCAGTGGCAGGGCCACCAGGGCCCTTGGCCAATCGGATGCGTTGGGGGAGAGGTACATTGTGATCAGCCTGCAAAAATGCCTGCCAGCCCTGAGCCTGCGAAATCGAATGGCCACCTCCTCCAGCTGGGTAGACCCCTATGTATCGCCCCTTCCATTGATGGTCATTGTCTCCCCTTGGGGCAATGGTTGTTAGGTTTGTATGTAGCTGAGCCTCTTGCCTGCTGCTTCAGCTTTTTTTTGGTCTTCATCTAACCTAATGTTTTATGGAAATAGCATTGACTTCAATATGAGCGTAGAGAGTGGTAGTTAGCCATGTTAGTCTTATCACAGTAGCCAGCCTTTTTTGAGGTTATTGTGAATGCTGCTTGTAATTACACTCAGCCAGCTTTCAGGAGAGTATTGTGGATAACTACAACTCCACCTCTCTTGTCCTCCACTCGCCGTATTAGAGTAAGTCAAACTTTTTGTTATACACAAGAAAATTCTAAAAGGTTTTGTTACCATATCAGGGCTGTCCAGATGGCAGCCCCAGGGGCTGCGTGTGGCCCACTAGGGGTTAATTTGCAACCCCTGGGGTCTAACCTAAATGTTGCTCTCCCCATCTTCCAATGGGGCAGCAGGGCATGGAGTCCCAAGGGTCTGTGCACCACTGGAGAGGGCGAGGGGCACATGCCACTCGTGCAGCTCACACAGCGTGGCGCACGTCTCATGCAGCCCTCAGCCATGCCAGAATTGATCAAACTTTATAGTAATTTTTTTAATGACCTGGTCTATGATTCTACTGCAGAAAAAGGGAACAGGAAGGTTTAAGAAACAGGATTTCCAGTAACAAGATAGATTCCAAATTTATTGGCAGGAGGAAAGAGACTGTAGTGCTGGGAGCAAGGATCCCTGCGCTCTGGTTCTGTTTTGGCCGCAAAGTCACTGTGGGTGTTATTTTCAAATAGAAGTTCTTACTTGAGTTGTGCCACAGCCTTACTTTTGAATACAGTGCAGTTAGCAAGTTTATAATATATCTTCACATGGAAAAAATTAGCTGTGCATACAAAACTGTTTTTTCCCAAACAGCCATTTGCGCTCAACTTCCTTTTACGTGTGGCTGTTTTTTGAGAATGCAGAATCCTGTTTTGAAAACATGGCCTCTAATTGCCTAATGCTTGCTTTTTTCCACTGGTAAAATGAATATAAAAATACTTGCTTAGTTCACAATAATTTTGCAAGATTCTTTACATGGGGGGAAAATCCCACTTTAAGTTATTTACGTTCTGAATAGCTGGTTCATACAGTCCTTTTAATTTACTGGGGGGGGGCATTTCTGGTTCCAGTGCACACAGTGTGTTTAATTGTTTTATGTATGTTAAATCCAAAACAAAAATTGAGAAAAATAAACTTATGTATAGTCCAGATGGCATTTTGATAAGGCAGGGAGAGAAGTCACTATTTCTCACCGAAATTAAACAGCAGAGTAAGTCATAGAATATAATCTCTGGATTAATGCCTGAAATATGCTTCTGTCACTCTGAACTAATGCCCATTATTTCTAATATATATTAACACTATATGGGTTGTCAGCGTAATAAGCTGTGCATATCACAAACTCGATGCAATTTCTCATGAAGATGAAGAAATTGATACTAGTATGTTTCTGAAATCAAGATGTCATTGCAACATACGTATTGAAGGGTTTTTTCCTTTAATAGCATGGTGTCAGGCAGTAACATCTCAGCCTTTGGAATGTCAGTGAAATAGCCAAATACCTTATTTATTTTTTCTGGCTCACTCGCTCTTCAGATTTCTGCTGCTTAATGGACAGAATAGAGTCTAAAATACAGTTTACTCTTGAAGTTAATCTCCCAGCAATTTCTAAAGTAAGCAGCAGCTAATTGCATACATTGTATCTTCACAGCAATTTCCGTTTCTTGATGATTGCCTTAGCCTATGCTATACCATTAGGCGTGTTCTCTGGCTGGTCTGGCGTTCTGGACTTGATATTAACACCAGTTCATGTCAGTCAAGTAAGTACTTTCCTGCTCATATGCATCAGATGTTTTGTAAGTGTCTGTATTATACTTGGTGCATAAATTAATGGTCAGATAATCTAGCTTCATTCTTTGCCCAGTTTGTAAGTACGATAAGTGTAAATCACTCTGCTGCTGAAATGTTAAATGAAGTATACCTATTGCTTATGACATACCAAATACTGTTGGCTCCTCCTACTTACTCTTCCCTGGCACTTAATAACACTTTTTTGTTCAGAATTGAATGCACCTGTTGACATTAATGAAGAGGCAAATAAATAAAAGGAAAGTAGTATTGGCTGCTGCTTTTTTAGGAGAGGAGAGAAGGAAAAAAAATCAATGTTTGCAAAATGGAAAGGTCAAAGTCAGTAGGGGAAGAGATTTTTTATTTTTAAGCTTTTAATAGAGTATTAGAAAAATCCAGAGGATATTTCCCAGCAGATGCCAACGTAAAGAGAGGTTACACCCAGGGCATAGATGATTTGACCATGTCCTTTTTTAGATTATATTCCCTCTGGCCATTTTAAACAAGGTTTTGCCCATTAGATTTTTTTTTGCTAACATTTTGCAGTCATTCCCCCTCCCACCCCTGACCTTCCAGGCAGTACCTCATTTTAGCTTTAACATTTTATTTTTTATTTCTCTATACTCTTCCTCATTAGGTGGATGCAGGCTGGATTGGCTTTTGGTCTATAGTTGGAGGCTGTGTGGTTGGCATAGCAATGGCAAGGTAGGAATAAATTACCTTTCATTTTTTTTCACCTGCAGTGCTTATTTAGTTCATACCTTTAAAACCCTGTGCTTATATCCTCTCATCTGTGAAATATCTGCAATGGCGAATGTGCATCTCCAGGTTTATGATAGGGTGTTTCTTCTCATACAGTGATTGTGTGTGTTTTCTTATGACTGGTCTTCAGAGGTTAGAAAATCTATCTGCCTGCTCATCAAATTGAGCAAGTCAAACAATTGCGTCAGACAAGCGCTTTCCTATCTATTCCTTCTAGAGGTAGTTTGGGTAGATAAAACTGCCTGGTATTGGAAAGACATAACTGAGCATCCCTGCAAAGTACTAAAGAATATCGGTCTCCTTCAGCCAGCACTTACTAAACATTTTAGTCCATCAAGGGCCTAAAAGAGGCTTGGAATAGAGCACAGGGTAGCATTTACAGGGCTCACTGCTATGTAGTGTAGTGACAATCTATGGTCTAGGGGCTGGATCTAGCCCAACATGTCTTGGGGGGAATCCTTAGCATGTTCCAGCCTCAGCTGCAGAGGAGGCAGCCCCATGGTCCCACCACCTGCCATATTTTTTTTTCCTACATTGCTGCAGCTGAGGAGTCATCCCCTGGATCCTAGTCACTGCCTTTCTCTAGCTATTCCCCTTGTAGCATCTGCTGATCTCTGGGGAAGGTTGTGGGGATGCACATGGGGCTGCAGCCTGCAGCAGAAGATGCTAGGGTGTAAGCAGTGGCCAACATTGACAAAAAAGGTTGCCGACCCCTGGTGTAGAAAGTTAAATAAGCTGGTTAGGGTATGCAGCTCATTAGAGCTAACTCAATGCTATATGGCAGTGTGCAGTCCATATATGTGTGCGTATGTGGGAAGCTCCCCAGCCTCCTCTCTGATCACTCAGCCTTTTTGAGCAGATGTAGATATGAGAATCAAAAAATGAGGACTGGACTCTCTCCCAAAGCTAAAGCTGCTGGTCCTTCTCTGTCCAGGTTCCTCAAAACAACAAAACCAAACCCACCTTCATTAGGCAATTAAGAATTGAGTTCATAACTTTGAGTTGATATAACATCCCCCCTGCCTGCCTGCTGCCTTCTCTCCACGCACATTATCTTCATTTCTGAATGTCACAGCATCATCCTGTTTTCTTTATATTCACCTTTCTGAGCCTAATTATGCTACAAGTGCAGCATTGGTTTTAGGGGGTTGGCACCTGATGCTCTAAGACAGAGGGGTAGGTGGGTGCGTAGATGGTTACACTTGTGTCATCAAAAAGTGTGTGTGTGTAAATTCTATATATTATACACATGCATGTGCACACAGAGTACACCAGCAACACACACCACTACATAAATAACATCTGGGGTTTCCCTTCCTGACACCTCTCATGGTGACAAGCATGAAGGCAAAGGAAAGCCCTCCTCAGTCATGCAAAAGAGTAAGAGTTGGGCCCCCCTGGTCCAACATCCTGATATCTGTTTGCTGAAGGACTAAGTCTACTGCAGCAGGGCCATGAGACAGAGGGGCAGGAGGCTGCACACCACGTGGGTCATAAGCCCTGTGCCCCTGCTGCATGAGCCCCCTGCTGCCACTGTCACAAGAACCCCTCCTACCCCATCTCTGCCACGCGAGCAGTGCAGTCCACCTTGCTGCCACCACCGCTCAGGTGATTCGCCCCCTGCGACCTCTGCATCTAGCCCTTCTCCCTGCTGGTGCTGTCACACAGGTGGCAAGCTCACCAGGCCTGCCATAGCGCTGTTGTGCCTTCGCGACCCCAGCCACCACCACTGCTGTAGCCAGAGCACCTCGGGCAGACGCAGCTAGACAGCAGCCCAGAAGCAGCACACTGACCCCTCACAGGCTGCATCCAGCCGGGGGGGGGCTGCCAGTTAGACAGACTTGTACTATATCAGGACTTGTGCCCCAGAGGCATATACCTGCAAAGGGACCTATCTTTGGATAGCTTTGCCTGTGAAGGTTTTCCCCATAAGACTTGCATGTACTGTAGGCCTTCTGGTGTACTAAATGCATTGGTGATGAACAGGCTGCTTGCAGAACAGTTGTATGCTGGACCTGGGTACAGCTGCGTTCTTCCTCTGGAGGACTAGCCTGTGCCACTGCATTGAATACATCTCTGCGCTAGAGGGGAGCACCCTTCCTCGCTTTCATTTTCTCTAGCAAGAATTTGCTGACTCAGTCCCATAATGCAAATACCTACTGTTGTGATGGATTAATTTATTTAATATATAGCTTGGTGGTAGTTTCAGAAAATGCTGAACATCTCTGTAACTGCTACAGAATTGATTTCAACCCCTATATCAAGGCCAGTATTCTGGAGAGTTCAAAGCTTGCTTTTGAGTAAATTAAAAAAATGCTAATAGTCTGTCTCCCAATATGTCTTTCCACCTCAGACAATATTTAGTTCAGACTATAGGGGTTTGCACACACAAAAATGGGGGAGGGGACGATTTGTCACTCCTGATGGATTACTCCCTTCTTGGGCCTATTCAGCAGTTATCTGTGTAGGGTTGAATCAATGACGACTCTGACTGTAATCTGCTGAAAGTTGTAATTAGGAAAATTAGGTAATGATTCTTGTCAAGTGTGACAGGCTGATGTATTTCAATGTCAGGACTGCAACTTACCAAGCAAGCAGCTATCTCTCTTCACAGCTTCTGCACAGCAGAGTTGTTTTCTTCTGCTAGCTCTTCATTTGCAAAGCTGAAAATGTTAGTTCAGGAATTTATAGCATTGTTTTATTTCTCCCCATGCCCTTGCCCTGTAAAATCTAGAGATATGTGCCCCACTGTGAACAGGATCTGATTTCAGCAACAGCCATCCTTTTTGGTAGGGTGCTGGAAGTTAAGCTTCATCCCTTTTCCCCCAGGCACGCCTAGGAGTGTTTGCCCTGGAGCGCTGGAAGGGAAGCAGGGAAGCTAGAGCCCACAGCACATGGAGCCTGGGTACCCGGGTTGCTGCTACAGGAGGTGTCGCCTCTAAAGAGCCAAGTTAACCCTGCCGTGGCCCTGCAACCACCAGTTTTATATGGCAGGCGAGGACCCAAAGCCTTGAATTTGGCAGTGGCTGCAGGGCCAAGGAAGGGTTAACCGTGCTCTGCTCTCTGCCCTTGGCACCTACTCTTACTGCTCACGTAGGGCTGTCCTGATCTAAGTATTTAACTACATATAAAGAATGTGATTTTCAAACCCATTTTCAGTTTTTGATGACACAAGTGTAAGCATCTAGCAATCAGATGTCTGTTCTGGTGGTATTTTGCCAGCTTTCTGCCCTGGATATTAACATATCCAGTTAAAAGGAGGATCCAGATTTGTTACCTTTTCTATGGCATGCGAGGAGTTTTCCTCTGCAAGGATTATACATATTTCTTCTCTCCTCTCCCCCACATCTCTGAACTTAGCTAGGTCTGGTTAATTTGCGTGATGCATTTTTCTGATTGAAAAGCCTGGGATATTTTGGGCAGTTGGCAGGTGTTGTACCCTTTGCTGGCAGCTGTAGAATGAGCTTGGTTTGAAGACAAGCAGCTTCAAAGAGTGACATTCACATTATCGCACTGAAACATAAATCTGTTTCTTTTCCCCCAGAATTTTTCTTGTCATGTTTGCTAATGATCACAGATATTTCTGGGTTTTGTCCTTCACAGCCCTGTGTTTCCTTCTGCTTTTATCCTGCAGCAAAGTCCAGATGCTGAAATTTTGTGACATGGTGATAATTTCCTTAGCAATGGATGGTGCTGTCAGCAACATAGGTTTATGACTTAACGGCAGGATCCAGCCCAGGGGTGGATTCACCAGGTCAGAAGAGATTATATTGAAAGCATGAGGCACAGTGATGTGTCTTCACTTCATTACAAGCAGATATACAGCTACTGTCCTGCACGATCTACCTAGAATACTTGCAGACACCTACATGAAGTGCTAAATGATGGTGATACGCAGTGATATCACTAGGTGCTATGGTGACCAGTGCAACTCTGTGGTTGCAAAAGGACAGTGCTGCTGGGACTTAAGCCCCCTTTTTTTTTCCAACCATTGGACTAAGATCATTTGCAGGCATTTGAGGTGGCCATCCTGAGTTTCCCAAAAAGGCTAACACTTGCATCATTGTTAGTTTTTTTTTGTTGTTGCTTCTGGTGCTGTTTTTAAATTGAAAAGTTCAGTGAAAGTTGCCCTTTGTATTTGTCCCTTCCTCTAGCTCCAGCTCCAAGCAAAAATTGGAGAGGTCCTTGGAGCCTGCTGTTGCTGTTCACACTAAAAGCAGCATTCCTTTCGGCTGTAAAAAGGAGGCAGTTGCAGAGAAGTTCAATATTTTCTCCACTTTATCTCTTGCCTCCCTCCTCCAAGTAGGATATTTGCCTCCCTGGTTTTATTAAGCAAAAGCCATAACTGCTCTTGACTGACTAAGCAGGGAGGCAGTACTATTATAGGCAGCAGGAGAAGCCTCAGACTTCAGAGACTAAAACGCCTCTGTGAAACACAAGCAGTTCACATTTTGTGGTGCTGTAGCTAAGTCTAAGTGGTACATAATTATTGCTTCCTGGGTGCACATGCTGAACAAAAAATGACATAAAACAATGTGACTTTCATGATTTAAAGTCAGGACTTGGATTACTGTCATCTTGCACACTTCAAATCTAGCAATGCCAGCTAAACCTTTACCGTTGGGGATAAATGCTTTTATTTGATTTGAGAACAGCTCATACACTTTCAGTATACATGTATATTTGTTTTATATATCTATAAAATTGACTTTAACTCTCGCAGTTATTGACTGTTAAATTCAGTGTGGAATTAAAACGGAGCAAGGGGCAAAATAAGAGGGAAGAGATGATTTTTTTTTTTAAGATCCATCATCCTAAATTTCATGCTAGATCAAACTGTTAAGCTCTACTAGAAAGCTAGAATTCCCACTTTTCAAATTGTATATACCATTATTTTTTATATCAGGTTTACCACATAGTATTGGATCTTAAAAAGGTCAATGACTTGTTTTTAGAAGGTTAAGATAAGATTTAATGACAGGCTAGGATGTTTTCATCTGGGCCACTCTGTCCCAGTCCAAAAGGAGGGAATATGAGCTGCGAGGGAGATGAAGTTCTTTAGATATAACTTGAATAATAGCAAACAGGGGACTGCAGAAAACTGCTGGCAAATTAAATTTCATCTCTGTCTTTCCCCACTTCCAACCCCCCCCCCCTTTTTTTCCTGTTTGCACCAGTGTTGAAATCCCTTTTGAAAAGAGCAGTTACACTGGTAATTGCATCATATGATCACACTAAAAGCAGCATTCCTTTCGACAGTAAAAATGAGGCAGTTGCAGAGAAGTTCAATATTTTTTCCACTTTATCTTGGATTGCTTGACCAACCTCATTTCCTTCTACAACCAGGTGACCTATCACCTGGACAAGGGAGAAGAGATTGATGTTGTATATCTTGACTTCAAAAAAGCCTTCAGTCTGGTATCCCATGATCACCTCTTGGCAAAACTGGCCAATTGTGGCCTTGGGTCCACCACGATCCGCTGGCTGGGAAATTGGCTCCGTGGTTGGACCCAGTAATTGATGGAAGTCGCTCATCATGGTGTCCTGTGACCAGTGGGGTCCCCCAAGGCTCTGTCCTTGGACCCATATTGTTCAACATCTTCATTAATGATGTGGACATCGGAGTCAGAAGCAGACTGGCCAAGTTTGCCGATGACACCAAACTTTGGGGTAAAGCATCCACACCAGAAGACAGGCGGGTGATCCAGGCTGACCTGGACAGGCTCAGCAAATGGGCGGATGAGAACTTGATGGTGTTTAACACCGAAAAATGCAAGGTCCTCCACCTTGGGAGGAAAAACCTGCAGCATCCTTATAGGCTCGGCAGTGCTACGCTGGCTAGCACTACAGAAGAAAGAGACTTGGGAGCCAGGATTAACCACAAGATGAACGTGAGCCTGCAATGTGATGCTGCGGCTACTAAAGCCATCAAAAAGCTGGCTTGCATCCACAGACGCTTCTCAAGCAAATCCCGGGACATCATTCTCCCCTTGTACTGGGCCTTGGTGAGGCCGCAGCTAGAGTACTGCGTCCAGCTTTGGGCTCCGCAATTCAAAAAGGATGTGGAGAAGCTTGAGAGAGTCCAGAGAAGAGCCACACGCATGA